CGCCCCGCCCTGTCCCGTCAAGCTACCCTAGCGCTGCCTCGCCACGCCACGCCACGCCGCGCGGAGGCTAGACTACCCGAACAGGCAGCGTGGCGGGTCGGGCCGGGTCGGGCCGCCAGAGCGCGCTGCGAGTGCCGTTGCTCCCCGCCTCGTTATTAGAGACTGCCGTAACTGGCACCGGCGGGCTATGCAGTTACGCGGCTCCGCCCGTTCCCACCCGCGCGTCTCAATGGAACGCGTTTGCCCGCTGCTCGGCCTCCTCCCCCTCGTGAACCGGCTGCGTAGTGCCCTCCTCCCCCCTTTCCCCGCAGTCCGCGGGGGGAGGGGAGCTTTTGAGCCGAAGCCGCCTAGAGCAGGGCTGCGCGGCCGTGGCGTGGCCTGGAGTTGTGCGCAATGCGACGCGCCCCGCCCATAACGACGTATGTGGTGGCATTTACAGGATGTTGCACATCTATGTACTGTATCTCTTTATCGTCAAGTTGACGGATCGGCTGCCTGGAAGCCCCTATGCCCTCCTCCCCTTCCCCTCCGTGGAGGCCTTTTCCTTATCATGGCTCCCGCGTTAAGGGTTGCTTTCAGATGTGCCTCGCGGTTGAGTTTTAGACACTCGTCGTCAATTGTATGTCGTGTTTCAGACCCAGCCATCCGCATCGAACTGATGGACCACATACCTCACATAGCAATGCTGTGCCATTCTGAGAAGGAGAAGCTTCTGTATGTTGTGGACCACCTTCTGCCTCTTGTTGCCAAACAGCTAACAGACCCTGATGATCAGGTAATATATTGTTTGTAGAAGTTTTGAATACCCCCCTTGAAAGGAATTAAGTAAGTTATTTACTTATCTTGTATGTTTCAGGTTCGCAAAGCAGCTCAAGTTACATTACTTGTGTTGATGGATCAATCGCTTGTTGGGCAGTCAGCTGTAGAGGAAGTAGTTTGTCCTGTTGTCAACATCCTCTCGGGAGCAGATCAGCACCCAGGGAAAGCTGTCCAGGTGAGGCATTTATTTGACTTACTACACCTTTTCATCTGTGTGTGCTTGTGATTGGCAAAGTGCTGTGCATGGTCAGGTCAGCATTGCTTTGCATTGTGTTGTAATCAAGTCCGTGACCTTGAAGACAACTTCAGTTGGGTGACGTGAAAGACATGGGTAGTGAGATGTTTGCTGCTGTACATCTCACTACCTTGTCTTTCATGTTGCTCGGACTGCATGTTCTCTGGGAGTTTTCAACATGCACCCTGGGCCTGACGTTCGCATCAAAGCTGGTTTGTCATAGATAATGTTTTATAAAGCTATCACAGCCAGCTTTGATGAGCTACGTTTGACCTCACAGCATCATTCAACAAACACCCGTTACTGGACCTACAGCTGCTCAGAAGAGGCTGGAGCCATCAATACGGCTGTGAGAGCGTGAATTTGATACCGTATCACAGCCACTTTGATGAGCTCTGGCTTCTTTGCTACCCTGCAATCTTCAAAGTCACATTGTTGCATGTATGCATTTCTTCTTTGCTCTGATGTATCTGTATCTTGTTTTTGACACTGTTGCAAATGATTGTTTTATTGTTTTGTGAACAGCTTGTGGAAGCTTGAGCCCCACCCGTCAATTTGGCTGTGACTTATGTGTATCTTTTTCATATCACAGCCATTTTTGACGAGTTGGGTTTCAAGTCTGAGTCATCGTTGGATACTTCCCAAGTTGATCTGGAAAGAAGACACTGAAGCTCTGTGCTCTGCTCACAAAGTGGCTGTCATGTGTACATTTAATATCATATCACAGCCAGCTTTGATGAGCGGAGCATTTTGCTACTTCATTTGGCTGACCAGGACAATTTCAAGCTCATCTTGCTTTGTTGTACACATCAAAGTGGCTGTTGTGTGTTGTGTTAATCATATCACAGCCAGCTTTGATGAGCGCAAAAGAGCAGTTTTCTCCATATCCATCAAATGTCTACTTCAAGTGATTAATCTATACTATGGTTTATTCTAATTGAAAATGTACCTGAAATCTTGTCAAAGCTTACTTGAATCTATTTTTAAACCTATTTTTTGTTTGTTGCAGTTAATGAGCAAAATGGCCCCATTTCTTGGTCGTGAGGCTACTGAAAGATTGTTCCTTTCAAGATTTTGCGACTTATGCCATGATAGTGATATGAATGTCCGGAAAATGTGTGCAGCATATTTTGGCGAGTTTTGTGCTGTTGTTGGTCAACCTACAACTGAGGAAACTTTAGTGAGTTATTATTTTCCCAAGATGTCCAAGTTTTGCCTATAACTTGCTCAGTTATAAACTAATTTTTTATTTGTATTTTTAACAGCTTGGCAGATTTGTTGATCTCTGCCAAGACGATGTCCCAGGAGTAAGGAAGGCATGTGCCGAAGTTATCATGTCTGTTTCTTGTGCTTGCACTCTTCAAAGACGTAAAACAGTCCTAGCCCCTATGTTTGTCACATTATTATGGGATTCAACGCGATGGGTCAGATCATCAGCCTTCAAAACACTGGGGCCATTTATATCAACATTTGCTGTTCCTAGTGTTGCTGATCTTGTGTATAATGAAAATGGAGAACTAGTACTAGTTAATCGAGAAGGCTGTGAATTCAGGTAAATATATCGTTTGCTTCTCCTAACTTATTTATTCCTATCTCAATTTTTAATTATTTTTTTCAACTTTAAGATTAAACCGGAATGCTGATAAAGGTGAAGCTGATGTGGAGGATGGTTGGGAAGCTGTAGATGAATCTATAAGATCACATGTTGAAAGGAAAAAGGCTTTGAAACGGGAACATATGCAACAATCTAATTTCCTCTCATCTTCCCATAAAACCGATCAAGACTTTGATATGAAGGACTGTTGGGATAATCTTGAGGAGGATGACAATGATTTAAATGAAGATGAGTCCTCTTTAGAACCAGTCAATCATGAAACAAACAGTGGAATGCAAAATGTGCAAACTGAAGATTCAAGAGAACTACCTTCCAGTTCTGATAATCTTCCAAATGGGGATATCACTGTGAAAGTTGAATTTGAAAATGAAGGCTCACAAGACAACCAGTCACCTCAAACATCTGCCCCCAGTAAGACTGCATCACGGCAAGAGGCAGGACTGTTCAGTGACTTACGGAATGCTCTGGATATGGAATATTCTAGAAGCGAAAGCAGTTCAGACTGTGTTACTTTAGAAACTGATTTAGATGATTACTGGCACAGTCAAGGTTAGTCTATTATTTTTATCATTTATTAGTCTATTACTGTACTTGGGTTCAAACCACTTACCATAGATCTATTTCTATCTTACAGGTGATGATGCTAGTGAGAATTCCCTAGAGAAAGATTTAAGCAGTTTCTCATCAACACCCGCTACAACGCCATCAGAGGAATGGGATTTTAATAGTTTTCAGTACTGGAGGGTGCCTATACCTGAGATCCCTAACATGGATGAATTAGCTGAATCAGATCTTGGCAATTTATCTGTGGATTGTCCCAGTGACACCACTGTGAAAGAATGTGATATGAAGTCTGATGATCTGCTTGGAAATGGTAAGCTTACATATTTTCATAATGCAAAGTACTTTTTCATTTGATCTCTTTATTAATAGTGGTATTTATTTTTCAGAGTTCGCTGACAAAGATAATGAAGAAGGCAGGCAATCTGATAGTGCCACTTTAAGGTCAGCAGTCCAACAAGATATTGTTCCTCAAGAACTAGTAGAATTGTTTGTTTCAATGACAAATCCCCCCCAAGCTCACATGATTGATGTTGAGATTGCACTGCATTGTGCATTTAGTTTACCTGCTGTTGCTCTTACACTTGGCCGTGAGAACTGGATCTTTCTTCGGAGAACTTATGAGGCTCTTGCTGCTGACATGCAGTGGAAAGTTAGAAGAACAGTTGCTTGTAGTATTCATGAATTGGCAGAAATTTTGGGTGAGGAGTTAACAGCTAAAGATCTAGTGCCCATTTATACGGGACTTATCAAGGACCTGGATGAAGTCCGAATTGGAGCTCTTAAACACCTAGCTGACTTTGTTAGGGTATGTGTCAAGACTTAACAAGTGCACTGCATTCAACATTGGTTCTTGATCTAATTTAAGTTCTACTATGTCTACAGTTGCTACCATCTGCCGAGAGGAAATCCTTCCTAAACCAGTTTGAAATGTTTCTGGTCACAGACAATGAATGGAATTGGAGGTTTCGTGAAGAGCTAGCCCAGCAGCTCCTGCGAATCATCCCTCTGTATTCACCAGAAGAAACATGCAACTATTTGGTACCTGTAGCCATTGCACTGTTAAGGGACAAAGTTGCTGCAGTCAGATCATCAGCCTTAGTTCTTGTAAGCAAAATTTGTCTGCCATCTATTTTCAGTTGAAGCAAAGATGTTACTCTATCATGATTTCTTCTGTAGGTCACTGGTCTGATCAACCATGTCACAACTGAGGGACCATTACTTCGTAAGCTCCTACCTCAACTGGCTCAGGAGTTTGCGAATAGCACAAGATGGGAAAGACGTCAGGCTTTTGCATTATTGTGTTCACACCTTGTGTCTGGTCGTGTTTTGGGTGGTGATCAGTTTGCTCGAGAAGTGTTGCCATACCTGTTGGATTTAAGCTATGACCGTGTACCTAATGTTCGCCTTGCTGTGGCTAAAACTGTGGCCTCCGATATCATGGCACATCGTAAGTGTTTCCTCCTAACTTCTCAAAGGATACATTACATTCTAAAATATTGTGCTGAAAAGTACTAATTGTGGGTGTTTTTTTACAGAATTCTTTAGCAGTGCTCAATCACCTCACCAAGAAGTGCTCATGCAAGTGTTAAAGAGACTCATCAATGATAAAGACAGAGATGTGCGTTTCTTTGCTGATCTCCGTCGTGGAATGCCCAGCTTCACCCATCAATTGTCTGTTTGTAGTGTCAGTCAAATGAATGAATGGCAAGCTGCTGAACATTGAACTGTCCAGGGAACATAATTTTTAATGAGCTATATTGTATTAAATTTTTTATCATGATTTTTAAGCCCAAATTTTTATCATGATTTTGTAACTAGAATATTAAAATTATCAAGTGATGTTGTTATCTATAATAAATAAATTGTTAAATATTGTGAATGTGCAATATATTTGAGTATTAATTACATTTCCTCCTTCCATATATACAAGCTATCAATAATTTACAAGAATTACGTTAATTGAGGCAATTCTGGATTATGATCGATTTGACGATCGCTGCTTCTGTTCTTCACTTGAAGCCTTCTCAGAACTTTCAGAAACAGTCTTCTGCTGGTCAGCTTCAAGGTCTTTCATTAGAGCCTCGATCCTCTCATGCTCGATGTTGAGTGGCTTGTCATAGCCTAAAATTCTGATAAGATGTTCTTTGTCAAAGATGTCCAATTCAATCATCATTGGGACACCTTTTACTTCCATAGTAGTGAACATTCCTGCATTGTCTGGAACCTTTCCATCCCCAGGACCAAATGGGATCTGCAAATAAAACGGATGGTGGGTTTATTGATCTCATCCTGAAAAATAAACCAAAAAAGCATCATTCAAACATCACTTACCTTTTTCTCTTGGAACAGAAAAGTGGTGCAGTGTGCATAGTATGTATCCTTTTCTGCATTGTAGGAGACATAATTTACATATCTCTTGACCAGTTGATGAAGCAAGAAGGGAGTCACAAATGTGAAAAATCCTGCTATACTACAGGTTACAATAAGCACTGGGAGACTAGTAATTTGATTGTACAACAAGGGTTGAGTAGCTAATCCTAGAATAGTAGTGGAAAATGAAAACAGTTTTGTCCTGCGAATTTGAGTACCTAATCTACCCTGATAAACAACAAGAGGTATTTTACTATCTTGAAATTCAGGTGGACTCTTATCAGAGTGAACAAATCGATGTGAAGATGAATGAATCTGAAAGAAAGAAATAGGATTTGATCTTTAGGGCCCATTTACGATCGTTTTGGCTTAGTTAATATAAATTCGATTTTATTTATGCGAAGGCGGTTTTGTCATTAATTTAAGGGGTTTTCGCGGAGAGGCATTTACGATCGTTTCCGCATGTTTCCGAGGTTAAGTAAAATTCTTGGCGCCGTCGCCATGTTTGTTTGGCATTTCCGCCATTCTCATTGGCTAGTTCGTACTTCGCGCCCTCGGCCGGATAAAATTTAAGGGTTTATTTTAACCAAGAGGCTAGCTTAAATTTTATTTTCCATCCCGATGGAAACGATTCTCACTAAGCGGGCCGTTTTTACTAACTAAGAATTTTATTTAAGCCAAGGATTGATCGTAAATGCTACCATAAGAACCAATGCTACGGAAATTTCATATTAACTAAGAAAAACGATCGTAAATGGGCCCTTAGATTTGGAAAGTGCAGACATTCTCCCATTAAGTTAAGAAACAAATATCAAGGGAAAGAGTTTCACATAAAGGGTGGTATACTGAGGAAAGAAAGCAGCCTCTAAGCATGAAATTTCGTTTTCAAAAATATGTTAAAATAGTCAAAGACAGTCTGGGAATGGAAAAAGATAGTTATTATTCAAGCATAAGCAAACAACAATGGTACAACTTTAATTGACAATGACATACTCAAATGAACTATAAATATTAAAAAATGGGAAGAGGACCAACAAAATTATCTTTCTGGTAAAAATTTATTGGTTTTTAAATCAAACATTGGAGAGATAAGACGCAAAAGAAAACATTACCTGGTGTGATGAGGTTAAGTTCGATAAACATCGTACATAACAAATTGGGCCTTTACTAACGCAACCAGAACCAGATGATATAAGTTGACAACTCAGGAGGCGCAACATTTTTTAGTTTGTTAGCCGAGGCAATTGAAGAGATTGCGTTTAACAGAAACGGAACGTAACAAAAGCAGCTCCAATCCAAACGCCAAAGAAAGAACTTGAAGAAAAAAAAATGAATTGCGATGCGATGCTGATGCCACGTGTTGTGATAAATTTCTCATTTCAGCAAATAGACCAGCGCGCCGCGGTGCCGGCTCGTTTGAATTTGGAATCTGATGTGGGCTTTTGTTTTTACTTGAACTCCGAGTGGACTTATTTCTACAATCGGTTATCGGTTCTGATAAAGCTGTGGCGGTGTCGGTTCGGTTGTAGCTACAACTGTGCAGCTTCAAACAGGGACGTGTCGGTCGGACAAGCGGGATTGCCTACCTCTAGGCGTCCTAGTCCCCACTGCCCCTCCCCCCGGCATTCCCCGCACTTTATGGAAACGTAAACAAACAGTGAAGTTCGGCGTCTTCTGCTCGATACCCAGAACTTACAGTTCTAGTCAATACCGACAATACCTATTCATTTAATTCATCATAGGATTTTCATCAGAATTTTAGGGTGGGCAGCGCCGCTTCTCGATTTTGGTATTAATTGCAAGGTAAAGTGCTTGGTGGTTTCCGGTCCGGAATATTGAATCGTTATGTTGCGGTTGTTGTCGGAGGTTAGTTAAGTACTCCAGTGGCTCTTACACACACAAGTTGTAAGTTAATTTTTGAGCAGAGTAAATAATAAAATATGTAAACTTGGCTCACTGTAAGCTTTCTTGTAATGGTGTTGAATGGGTACACTCCTCCATTCCAAGCAGTCTGTTAAATACTGTTGTAGGTCATTGTCATATTGGATGCTGTTTGTGCATTGTGCACAAGCGCTGGAGTGAACACAGGCCTGCAGGCACGAATAGCATCCATTAGTTGCAGCTAATTTGCAGCTGCCCTATCCAGTACTGTCTTAATTATTGTAGAAAAGGGAGATTTGCACAGCACACAGCATGTGCAAGAGGGATATGTTACGTTCAAATAATGCTTGAGTCCAGTGCCAAATTAGTTATTTGAAAGACTGTGGTCCTCCAGAGTAGGCGGGGATTTAATTTATTGTTGATGAACGTTGAGTAATGGAAAGCAAGCATTACAATTGATGGCGCTAAAATGTATTGTTTAATATGATTGCAGGAACACGGCCCGGAAATGTTCTTGACATGAGGAAAGAAGTCTTTGGAGTCATTTTACCTGAAAGAATAGGTGAGTTGACATGACAGTAACCATTGCTGGTCCAATTTGTGTCTGCACAGACGCTATGAGAAGTCTCCTTTGGTGTGCGTCAAATGGTAGCTTTTGATGGTTTTTTGAAGTGCCTTGGTTCTTTACTGACAATTTCAATTTTCCACCGTCAAAATCAAGGATGTATTGTTATCATTAAAAAGTCTTATAAAAGTCTTGACAATTTGGAAAATTGCTGGAATTGGTTTGGATTGGTCGAGTAGACTCCCTTTTCATTTGCTCTGTCTAAATATCATGGTGCCGACCCACTACAGCAGAGTTCTTAGCTTGTGCGCCTTAAGTAGACAACCCGCCGCCCATAGTTGACAAGAGACCACCCCCTAAAACTCAGATTTCTCTGGACACGAGTGGTTTCTGGTAGAACCAAAAGTAGTTTTGTGGTCCCCTGGTTCACCCCTATCGATTCGACTACTTTTCCGTCCAAATCCGGACCCATCAATTTTCGCTAGCCTTTGTAAATTTGACCATAAATGTAAAAAAATAAAATCGCTAGAAATGGTTGGGATTGGTCCGACAGCATCCTCTTTCCATATCTCCGTCGCAATTTCACGCCGCCGAGCCATTTTAAAGGAGTTACGCCTCTTTTTCTTGGACAGGTTCGCCTGAGAGGTAGGCAGCCCATCGTACGCTGCCCGCCACATTCAAAAGACCACCCCTTAAAACTCAAGTTTCTCTGGACAGGGG